ACGGACGGACGACGGACAAAATGTGATAAGAAAAGCTCAATTGAGCCTTCAGCTCAGGAGAGCCAAAAATGTAGCGGTCATGAGTTGAAATTTTTGGCGATGTAGCGGTAATGTTGACCTCCCGAATAGTTAAAATTTTAAAATATATTTTATAGATAATTATATGGATTTCCATAAAGCATTACTTATTTGGGAAAACAAAGAGAGATAACTCTAAAATTTTGGTAAAAATCGTGTTTTTATCACTATAGAAATCAACCTCTTCGCTAGCCAAGGGTTTCTGATACGCTACTCTCCCCATGAACCCTTGGCATACGGTGAAGTCAAAAGACGGGATTGTTTTCAGCATGTGATCTCGAATCTATCAGGTACGCACAGCTTGCGTCATCGACAGAAACAAAAACGCGTGTTTAAGTAATAGTAAGATCATATGAGAGAAATCTTCGTCATGAAGAATGGGCGGAGCGAAGCGGAGCCCATTCTTCGTGACGAAGATGTCTCTTCATATGATCTTACTGACTTAGAACAGAACCTCAGGCAATCAAATGAATGGATGAAAAATAAACTTCTCCCACGGCTGTGTCATATATAAGGCTCAACTTGACCGCTCGTTGTACATATCGAGCACGCAATCAATATCGAACACACGCGGTTTCAGAATGGACTCCCAACCCATTCAGGTTAGCACGGGATTATATGAAATTGCTTGATTTAGTGGGGAAATGGTATGGTGAAGATATTAAAGTTACTGAACTAATGAAAACCCATGAACAAGAATCGAAATAGCTATATTTTTGAAAAATAATTGTGTTAAGATGACAAGGCCCCAGTCAGCAGGAGTAGGTATCGCTGTCTAATATCAAATGAAAATTAGATAAAAATTGTGATTAAATCTGTCTTCAAAGAAAGGTTCGTCTCTGATATACATGACGATGGTTGTATTTTCTGTATGTACCGAAATGTGAAAAAAATGATATTCAAAAAGGCGACAAAAGATTACAGTGGGAAAAAAGTGTAGCAAGGCCTAGAAAGATTAAATATCATTGTAAACAGCACGTGGGTTTTGAATAGTTTCTTTTTGTGTGCTGAACAAAGACCAATGAAGACACACCCATATAACTGTCAAGTGAACCAATCAGATAACGTTGAATTTTTCAGAAATAGAAGAATTCTTCACCATGAAGAATCAATTCTTCGCGAGAAATGGAAGCATTTGATTGGCTGAATAAGTAGGTTATGTTCTAAATCACAATAACATTAGTAGGGGTGCACGTGGAGATTGCTCGCTGCCGTCTGATCGGACATCTTTAATTCTTATTGATAAGTCGTGGCTTACTTGTCGAATGACATTAGAACATAACCTACTTATTCAGCCAATCAAATGCTTCCATTTCTCGCGAAGAAATGATTCTTCATGGTGAAGAATTCTTCTATTTCTGAAAAATTCAAGGGTGTCTGAATGGTTCACTTGACAGTTATATGGGTGTGTCTTCATTGGTCTTTGTTCAGCACACAAAAAGAAACTATTCAAAACCCACATGCTGTTTACAATGATATTTAAACTTTCTAGGCCTTGCTACACTTTTTCTTCCACTGTAATCTTTTGTCACCTGTTTTTGAATATTATTTTTTTTCACATTTCGGTACATGCAGAAAATACAACCATCGTCATGTATATCAGAGATGAACTTTGTCTTTGAAGACAGATTTAATCACAATTTTCATCAATTTTTTATTTGATATTAGACAGCGATACCTACTCCTGCTGACTGGGGCCTTGTCATCTTAACACAATTATTTTTCAAAAATATAGCTATTTCGATTCTTGTTCATGGGTTTTCATTAGTTCAGTATCTTTAATATCTTCACCATACCATTTCCCCACTAAATCAAGCAATTTCATATAATCCCGTGCTAACCTGAATGGGTTGGGAGTCCATTCTGAAACCGCGTGTGTTCGATATTGATTGCGTGCTCGATATGTACAACGAGCGGTCAAGTTGAGCCTTTTACATGACACAGCCGTGGGAGGAGTTTATTTTTAATCCATTCATTTGATTGGCTGAGGTTCTGTTCTAAGTCAGTAAGATCATATGAAGAGACATCTTCGTCACGAAAAATGGGCTCCGCTTCGCTCCGCCCATTCTTCATGACGAAGATTTCTCTCATATGATCTTACTATTACAAAGAACATAAAACACGAGTTTAAATACCCTTAGAACCGAATCACCGCATGCCGCAAAATAAACCCTAAAAGAGATTTAAATGTAGTAAAGCACATAAGTGAGATAACAGATATTACCAACGTAATACGTACTAACTGGATAGCCGAATCAACACACCAACACGCACACTAAAGCAACAAGGTTCGACTCCAAGGAACACCAACCATCCCCCCCCCCCAAAAAAAACACATTAATAATGTAACCGAAAAGAAATTTATGTGGTTAACAAAAGATATACCCGGTACTATCTGAATGTCATAATTACCCAAGAATTTCAAATCCTGGACAGAACTCCTGCTTTTGATAGTCGGAGAAATAGCTTTTCAGAGCTAATTTTTTGATGTTGATGTACCCAACTTTAAATAAATATTATCTCATCTCAGTTCAAGGTCATTAAAGATCATTACCGGCCGCCAGGAGGCGGTCGGTTATATGATATGAAAGTTTTAAGTCGCTGTGCGTTTCTGCGGAGTTAAGAACAATTTAAATAAAAATATTTAACATTGATATAATAGTATATTAAAAAGAGCGTCTAAATGTTTAACAAGAACGCACAATAAATATCAAATTAATTTTTTAAATAAAGAATGATGTAAATATTTCATCCAATCCTGATTGAGAAACTTAAGGCCGGTATACACGATGAGATTTGTAGCATAATACAAGTATTATAATACTTTTGTATCATAATACTTTCTTGTACTCACGATAATACATATCTTATAAGATTGTAAATAAACTACGTATTCCAACGTGTCTTTCACCGCCATATTTCTCTCTGTCAAAGTAATAACAATGGAGGATGCGGCTCTGATAGCAGTGTCTATCATCGTACTATGCACTGAGTGATATCTTCCACACGTCATTTTGCCCTTCCCATTAAGCCACGAGTTTTTCGATGTCTTTACCTGTAAAGTAGACCATTATCATTTATCATGTGTATTTTTTACTAATGATAAAAATGGATGACCCCTAGTGTCATTACATTTCATTGGTTGAAAGTGATGGGTTAGATAAGACTTGTAATTAGGAAATAGAGCATTGCTCTATTCTTAATACAGTTTTATAAGATTCGAAAAATCTTATGATACACTGTATTAAGAGTGTATACACAGTAAGATTTTGTATTACAATACAAATCTTATAATACCGGCCTTCAGACATGTTTGAGGTGCGGAGAAAATTAGGACATGTGTTGGGTATAGTCTAAAGCAAAGACCGCGTTATGTATATTGTACAATTTTACTTTCTCTATTTAAACAGGATTTATTGTACGTATTTATTCTAAAATGCCGTGTACACATGTACATATATAAAAATTTTCAAAAATATGGTTAAATGTTAATTCATCAAAAGACCTAGCAGGCTTCAGAATATTACAAGATTTTGCCCTTAGCAGACGAGGATAATGCACGTTTTACAATGTGCCAAGAATTTTCCCGCTACAACTCAAAGAAACTGAAAGAGAAGAAAGTAGAGGGAGTTTAGTTTTTTCCTCTAAGAGAGAGAGCAATGAGCCACACATATTTGTTGCGTTTTTATTAAATTAAAACTACACTGCATATCTAGTTGTAGATTATATTAAACTTTAGTTTTAAACTTTTATTGTGAATGCCTCTTAATTATGCAGGCCCACGGTTTGTTGACGCAGAGGACCTGGGGTACTTTGCTTACATATACATGTAATACTGAACATGCATTATATAATTATAAGAAAATCATGCAATGTCGTGCACAAGCGTTTAATGTCACGAGGATATATATTAACAGATACATATAAGATATTTTAAAACAGATCACCATTCCAGTCTTTAGTTGCTCCATAAAAGGAACAATTAATTGGTTTGCGGCCGATTTTTGACGCTTGCGTCAATATATGTTTCTTGTTCAATATCTTATATGCCACACAGACACAAATGATAGCCAAAAATATCGCGAATGCTTTTGATAGCCCATTTTTGCTTTGAAGAAATTGCATCAGAAACATACAAAAGAAAATTGAGATTTTTTTTTGATAGGCATTTTTGCAAAATCTGGTCTTTTTGTCTGTGAGATTTGTGGAATAGCTGTAAAGTTAACAATTAAACTAGAGGTACTGTGAGGGATGAGCTTACTAAATGATACCCCCCGCCTCCCATATGGTTTTAACTGGTGAAAAAGTCCATGTTTTCCTGTGGCCGGGAAACCCAAAATATGTGTCGGATCAAAAAGTAAAATAGGAGGTGCACAATGGCAATATGTAATAAAGATTCTGTGCAAGTTTCATCAAATTTCATTCAGTGGTATGAGAGGAGTTGCGGATAAGAGATGGGTACCCCAAAGCGTCACAGACGGACGGACGGACGGAAATACCGATTACTATATACCCTCCCGCTTTTCAAGCGGGGGGTATAATAACGCATCTAAAAAAGTATGACAAAACTATCTTACATTTGTATTGCTCCTACTATGTGTGTTTTTTTTTAAGACAATCTTTTTTTTTCTGAAGAATAGCAAATTTATATGCTATATTAATAAAGAGTCATCCGCAGCTATTATAAAATTCAAGTCCCCTCCCCGGGGTAAACTTTTCGATACTGAACTAATATATGCTTTTTCCTTGCTGATATGCTTTTTCCTTGCTGAATATAAATATCAGTTATAATTCTATAATGACAGAAGGCAACCAGTCATAAAGTAAGAGAACAAATATGCTTTTTAACAATCGCTATTTTGAAGTAAGCCTTGGATACATTATCATATATGCTTTGCTTATTATTTATCATTGCATTTCAGGATGAACTTGGAACAGTTTTTCGTCTGTTACGAAAGTATTATTCTAATGTGTCCAAATTATCTTGACGCTAATCCACTGATGATGAGTAAGCGGTCCCTACAGTCAGTGATGTTTGGGCTGTGTGAAAACAAAGAAAGTAAGGATTAGGTCATAAATACGTACAGTCTTCTTTCAAATATGAGTAGTTTATTTTTTAGTGGAAAAATGACAACTACAACTTAAATTTTTTTTAGCTCACCTGAGCCAAAGGCTCAAGTGAGCTTTTTTGATCACAATTTGTCCGTTGTCTGTCGTCGTTGTCGTCGTCGTTGTTGTTAACTTTTCACATTTTCGACTTCTTCTAAAGAACCGCTAGGCCAATTTCAACCAGACTTGCCACAAACCATCCTTGGGTAAAGGGAATTCAAGTTTGTTCAAATGAAGTGCCATGCCCTCATTCAAGGGGAGATAAATGGGAATTAATGAAAATTTTGTGGTATCTTTTAAAAATCTTCTTCTCAAGAACCACTGGGCCAGGAAAGATAAAACTTATGGGGAAACATCCTCAGGTAGTGTAGATTAAAATTTGTTCAAATCATGACCCCCGGGGGTAGGGCGGGGCCACAATGGCCGACCAAATTTTTACATAGAAATATATAGGAACATTCTTTAAAAATCTTCTTCTCAAGAATAACAAAGCCATAATTGATGATATTTGTGTGGAAGCATCCTCAGGTAGTGTAGATTCAAGTTTGTTCAAATCATGACCCCCGGGGGTAGGGTGGGGCAAAAATGGCCGGTCAAAGTTTTACATAGGAATATATAGGAAAAATCTTTAAAAATCTTCTTCTCAAGAACCACTGGGTCAGGAAAGATGAAACTCATGTGGAATCATCTTCAGGTAGTGAAGATTCAAGTTTGTTCAAATCATGACCCCCGGGGGTAGGGTGGGGCCAAAATGGCCGACCAAAGTTTTACATGTACATAGGTATATAAAGGAAAAATCTTTAAAAATCTTCTTCTCAAGAACCACTGGGTCAGGAAAGATGAAACTCATGTGGAATCATCCTCAGGTAGTGTAGATTCAAGTTTGTTCAAATCATGACCCCCGGGGTTAGGGTGGGGCAAAAATGGCCGGTCAAAGTTTTACATAGGAATATATAGGAAAAATCTTTAAAAATCTTCTTCTCAAGAACCACTGGGCCAGGAAAGATTAAACTCATGTGGAATCATCCTTAGGTAGTGTAGATTCAAATTTGTTCAAATCATGACCCCCGGGGGTAGGGTGGGGCCAAAATGGCCGATCAAAGTTTTACATACGAATATATTAGGAAAAATCTTTAAAAATCTTCTTCTCAAGAACCACTGGGCCAGGAAAGATGAAACTCATGTGGAATCATCCTCAGGTAGTGTAAATTCTAGTTTATTCAAATCATGACCCCCTGGGGGGTTAAAATTCAAGCCCCCCCCCAACCTCAGTAAACTTTCAGTTCTGATCTGATATCTGTTTTTCCTAGCCAATTGCTCAGGTGAGCGATGTGGCCCCGGGGCCTCTTGTTTCAAAATTTGATGTTTGCCCGTCGTTCTCCTTAGGAGCCATGACATTTTTGGTTAATGACAAGATAGGATAATGGCCGAATATGGTGCCTTATCTGATGTAAAAATCAGAACAAGGGTAAAATTTTGAAATAAAAAACAGCACTAATTTGGATTCAAAGCATATATGAAAGTCACTGTAGGGTACAGAAGAAGGACATTCTCCCAAATTTTCTCATTTCTGGTGAATTGTCATAATATTTTAGATATTTTTTCTCTTCGGAAAACATAGAGCACAAGCTTGACTAATATGTCTACTTGAGATTTTTCCATGAAATATGTAAATTTGTTAGATAGGCAAGCTTGTGCTCTTCGTTTTTCCGAAAGAAAATGTGCTGAAAATTGGCATTAAAATGAAGAAAAAAAATGGAAAATTTACATATTTTCTGACCCTCTGTGTATTCCAAAAAATTAGAACCAATACTCATTTGTGTATTCCAAAAAATTAGAACCAATACTCATTTGTGGCAGGTTTTTAATTGATAAACTGTAACATCATTCTGAAAAATACCCAAAATCAGGGGGCCAAAAAGGGGTCTTAGCCTATCTTGTCCTCTAGAATAAATTGAATTATTAAAAAAAAAAAGATTGTGCCCATGAGATAAGAATGCTGATGGCAATTGTCACACATTTTGAGTTTTTCATGGGTTTTATTAGAGCAAAATAAGGAGTTGACAAATCTGTTTTTTTACGGCGGAACTCCATATCCAGTATATTTATTCTTCATAAATATCAATGATACTCCAACAGTTAAATCATGACGTCATGTTACATTGAACCAACGTCATACATTTTCGGAGGGAAACAATTTTTTATGCGAGTTTAATTCGCAGTAAATTAATGCGAATCAAATAAATGCGAATTATTGCCCTGTTTACACGGAGAGTTTGATTCGAATTAAACAGGTTAGGGGGAAACGTAAATTCCGCTATAATAGTGGTATTTCACTATTACAGTATAGTGAAATTACGCTATATTTCCCGTCGTGGATACCCTCAATTTCATCCGATACCATGATAATAGTATTTTGTTACCTTCTAAAACTGAATCAAGGCATTTGAACCGCAAGTCATGGTGGGTATTAAAATGAACAAAAACTGTCAGGCTTTCATGTTTTGAAATTTAATTAATTTTCTTCTGTTGCGTTTAATAATGCGAGCACTCTTTTTTTTAACGGTGGAGTTGCATTTTTAACATAGCAACCGATGATTGCAGCACTTTTTTTTAGTATCTAAGCCTGTTTGAATCTCACTTATTGTTCATTAACGTGCACAAATTGATGCTTGTTACAATTGTCAACTTGCACTGAAAAGGTTTTATGGAATTAAACAATAAAAGGATTATTTCTGTCTGCATGGTTACGGGTATGGAGGCTCGTTATGGAAAACGAAAAGACACATTATGGCAAAAATAAAAAAAAGAGTGTAATGATAAATTCGATTTCTATCCTCTTTACAAAATCAATTTATAATAAATAATCAAAAAATTACTTTTTAAAAAATAAAAACGATTCTAGAAAATATATATAATTTCTGCTGGTTAATTGTTTATTTCAGAAAAAAGACTCAATTTATTTTGGTGTCCGGAATATTTGACAAGAGTGCCTGTAACCTTATTTTAAACATGTTCAAATAATTATGATTGGAACAATCTTTTTAACTCTGCACAAATGAATCTTATTTAACACTTTCTAGTTAGGCACTTAGGCAAGAATGATTTAACTTTAAAACCTGAGAGAAATAGCTGTAGTTTTTTTCTTGCTATTTAAAAATATTTATATCTAATTATATTCTAGGAAATGAAAGAATGTAACAAAAATCACACCAGAAGTATTAATTTTTCAAGCTTTTCGAATTATGCTATTGTATTATTGTTTAAAACACAAGGAAACTTCAAATAACCAATCACCACTGCTCAATATTCAGCATAAGATGTGTCTAAAATATCTTTGACTCAATTCATATTTTCCACAATCAAAAATTTATGTCAAGACCAAATCGACCGCAAACAATTTAGCATTTGATAAAGTACTATCACAATTTTGAATGCATAACCATGCAATGGAAGTATAAGATATTCAAAGCTGAACTAGAATCACGAGAAGCCTATATTTTCATTTTCAATCAAATCTTTTATCACTGACTTCATATGCGTCAGAACCGGGGGAGGGGGGCTTAGCCCCCACTTTTTTTTTTATTTTGCAGTGATAGACATTTTCTATGTATTGAAAATTGAGGTTTACCTTTTTTATTGGTTTAGCCCCCCCCCCCCCCTTTCAATTTGCTTCCGACTCCTATGGACTTGATTAATCCATCTGATGAGCAAATGCACTTAAATATCTATGTGCGTATTTATTTTTTAAAAAAAATATTTATTTATATTGCTTTGAAGACAGTCTGAAATAAAAATGACCGAACCACGTGTTCCTTGGGTCCTGATCACGTGATAATTTCTATCGTTTATGCAGTATAGGTTATGCCGCAAGGCGCTTTGCAAAATATGGAATCGAAATTATTCTTTTATCATTCACAACATTTGCAGGTCTGTAGCATATTCAATTTCTATGAGCTGAACAGTTTTTGATTTTTTATTAACCATGAACTATATGTACCACGTCGTTATGATGCAACCGGAAATTCAAAATTTCCTTTTATTTCTATATAGTACCTTTTGTAAACTCTTTTTATATAGTCAAAAATTATCAAATATCTTGATGAGAAATAACAATGAAATTGAAACTGTATAACAATAATATTTTAATTTTGTTTATTAAGCATTAAAAAAAATATTTTACTTATGATTTTCTACATGTTATCAAAGAAGTATTATGCTGAATAATAAAATAACTTCTCAATTCTGAATTATAAAATTACTTCTCAATTCCCATGTTCACTATCTAACACAACCATGCACAGAAAGATCAGCCGCTGCGATAATAATGGGTCTTTCCGTTTACCATAACGGGCCTCCATACCCGTAACCATGCAGACAGAAATAATCTATTTCTTGTTTAATTCCATAAAACCTTTCCAGTTTAAGTTGACAATCGCAACAAGAGTCAACTTGTGCACATTAATGAGCAATAAGTGAGATTCAAACAGGCTTAATTACCCCCGCAATCATCGGTTGCTATGTTAAAAATGCAACTTCCGTTAAAAAAAAGAGTGCTCGCATTATTAAACGCAATGGTAGAAAATTAATTAAAATTCAAAACATGCAATCATGACAGTTTTTGTTCATTTTAATACCCACCATGACTTGCGGTTCAAACGCCTTGCATGGTATCGGATGAAATTGAGAGTATCCACGACGGGAAATATAGCGTAATTTCACTATAATAGTGAAATACCACTATTATAGCGGAATTTACGTTTCCCCCCAACCTGTTAAACGTAAAGTTACTCAGCGTTCACACGGAGAATGAAGAGGAAATTTTTTAATTCGCATTAGTTTACTTCGCATTAGCTGTCGTGTGAACGCAATTTATGCCCTGTTCAGACGACGAGTTTAATTCGCAGTAAATTAATGCGATGTAAACCAATGCGAATCAAATTAATGCGAATTAAATTGCGTTCACACGACAGCTAATGCTAAGTAAACTAATGCGAATTAAACATTTTCTTCTACATTCAGGCGCCAGTAAGTCTATTATGACGTCATTTGTAAATCACGTCATGTATGCAGATCCATCTTTGATACATCATGTAGTGGCTACAGGTATTCATTGATTTTAGTGATTAACATACTTTCCCTCAATTTTTGACCTATGTATAACCACCAACACGTGTCCTGTGACTTAATTCTGGCCTTACGCATGCGTCAAAATTTAAATCGAATTAGCTTCGCTTAGCGTTCACACGGAGCTAATGCAAAGTACTTTAATGCGCAGTAAATTAATTCGGATTAAACTAATTCGCATTAAATTCTCCATGTGAACGCTTAGCGAAGCTAATTTGCAGTAACTTTACGTTTAATTCGATTAAAACTCTCCGTGTGAACAGGGCATTAAAATAATAAATATCGATTTTTACTTAAGAAAAGGTTAGACTGTTAGTTTAAGGTCAAGATCTAGTAAATGAAAGATGCCTACAGATTTATCAAATTGAAGAAATAAATTCCTTTAATGATGCTTTATAACATTAGATTGGTCAAATAAGGTGTTTCGGGGCAAACTTTTTAGGAAAACAAGATGAAAATCCATACTTTAAACTGTCATTTTCAATGAAAAATTAAGAAAACCAGTCTTCAATATGGGAGTTTTTTTCCATATCATACTAAGAAAATGTATCCAGATTGCCTACAGTCTTTCAGAAAACGGTAATTTGTATCTTCTGAGTCTCTTTTTTAAGATAATGTCAAATATAATATAGGTATCGGGACTACTTTTTACATAATTTCCAATTGAATTCTATGAAAATACTCTATTTTATACATTATTCTAAGAGCCGTAAAGTTCGGGAAAAAGAAAGTTGAAAGTGATTGTGACGTTATAATGGATCTAGCACCAAAAAGTTAGTCTAGGAACATTTACTAGATCTTGACTTTAAAGGAATAAACTCGTACGATGGAAATTTATAGAAGTACTAACTTGATGTTTTATGAAAGGGTCTACTAGCTCTCCTGTCTTAGCAAGGATGAGCCAGGGAACCAGACTACTCATAGTACATGCATGTCTCCATAAATCTGTGCGTCATTGATACTAGTATTATAGAGAATTGATTCACGGTTCTTATTTTCTTATGATTTGCAAATTCAAACGAATAATCAGAAATATTTTTGCAGTATACTTACAAGGTTTGGAATGTGCGGAAAAGAAAAGTAATAAATTTCATCTTTACATGCAAAACTGCTTTGGATTACGCCATTTTGGAAATGCAGTAGATGCTCGTGCTGCGCGAAACTGGACCGGGTTTTGTGGGTAAAAATTCTAATGCTTACATATATCTTATAAAGATTTGTCTAACTATATAAGTCACTGATAGTATATTTGATGAAATGAGCAATAATAGTAACTTGAAAGTGATCGAAGTGCAGCGTGTAAAGGGGTAACTGTGTATGGACCAGTTCTTCTGATTGTACATAAATCTGCAAAAAAGATGAAGATATTTATGGTGGCATATTTCTGCCCCCAAAATGCAAGATATATTATGTAAACATGCAATATATTTATGTCATCATGCAATTAAATTATTGTAAGTTGACATGTAAGTTACCAATCTTTTAAGATAATGTTACTGAACTAACGCCTTTATCTGACATAATAGATGCAAGATAATTATAAAGACATGCGACTTATATATGTCAACATGCAAGATAATTATGTAGACATGCAACTTATTTATGTCAACATGCAAGGCAATTATGTCAACATGCAAGATGTGTACAGTCAAAACTGCCATAGCGACCCACTGTATTAAGCGACTCACTGTGACATGTGACCGTAAGAATTCCCCCCAACGCTTTTCCATATATATTCTACCTGTATTTAACGACCACCTGTCTAATGCGACCAACGACCGTGATTTTCCCGACCATTTTCAGTAATTTCAAGCAATTTTACCTGAATTAAACGACTACATAATTTCCGATTCCTACTTTCGATTTCGGTCGAGCATGATACGTTTTTGGTTCAAAACAACTACAGAAACGCTTTTATTTCATTCAAGAATTATACAATTTGAATAAAACATTTAAGAATGAATATTTTTACTTACGCTTTGATATTTATTGTATAAACATTAAAATCTAAAACATAAACATAACGTTTTTCTGCCCAGTTATCGAGCGCCATTTTGAAAAATAGACGTTGGAGGTCGATCCCGAAATCATTTCATGCTATAAGGGCCAAATGGATATTCAGCTATAAAATCTGCCTGTTTAACTTTAAGAGGCAGTCCACCGAAAAACCAGGCAATAGGTGGCACATCGCATGTCATGGATTTTAATTATTTTTTGCATGTAGACTTATTAAAGCAAGTGTTTACACATGACAATATCAAAAAAAAAATTAGTGGTCCTCTAGTCCTATTTTTGGTAAAAGTCTAATTTTAAGTGCAAAAAGGTCAACGTGAGGGTAAAAAAGTACTAGGTTTTTATTTTGTTTTATATGTAACAGATACTCAAAAGCTGGATGTGTAAATCAATATCATTTGTAGCATAGACTCTTATCTTTTATATTATGATGAATAAGACTCCAAATTATATTTCTTTAGAAGAAAATTATGTGGTCCAAAATTAAGTTTAACAAGTGAATTTTTGAATTCAGTATCCAATTTTCGATACGTTATAAAATCCAATGCATTACTATGACAGAATATTTTCCTCATGTTATTATGAATACAACGTACAAACTTTTGAGTCATTTAATAAAATTTGTGGGAACAGGTATATTGAGAGAAATAAAAGGAGTCAAATTTACTTAATATTATTTATGAATTTTCCCAAATTAAACCGATCCCGATCGGAATTATATACAGAAGAAAATACTATAATTGTATTGTCTAATTTGGCTCGTTTGTTGTAATATAGTTAAAAAATATACTTTATAAATTTTTATACATGTTTTATTGTTGGAAGTTGCCTTTAGCTTGAAAAAATTATAAATTTTGCATTATTTTCGACCGGGATCGGTTTTATTTCCATCGGGTTTGGTTTTTACCGTGAAATTAGAAATATTCTTCATTTTAATTCATCAGAAATATGCCTATTTCTTTTCAGTCAGCAAAATGTTAAAGTGATTTTGCCCATAGATTCAAATGTTTATATTTAAATTCCTAATGTCTTTTACGTACATGAAGATAACAGTGTACATGTGAAACATCTGTTTGATTTCTTGATACACGGTATTTTAAAAAAAGTGTTTGTACATTTATAATGCAACAACTGAGAGCAGACAGCTTAGCTTCATTAAATATCTTATTTCCAAGTAAATTTTTAAAAAAATGTTCTCAGGAATTAAATATGTGTAGTTAAATTCTATAAGTGCATGGCGAAATTATTCTTGCACGTACCTGCATACAGAAAATATTTTTATGTGTACAGTCTCGGCTTTATCCAAGTTTTTTAAATCTGTCATCTGTTAAGCCTTTTCCCCTTTATTTTCTTCTTTTGCAAAATTTTATTTATGTAAATGAAAAAATAAGTTCTTTAATATATATCATTATTCAAGAGCCCATAAATCGCAAGCAAAAACCAGGGGAGAGGGGGGGGGGGGGGTCAAGGCGGCATCATGGCATCATTTTTTCAAAAACTCGTTTCATGAATGTGAAAACATTTTAGAATTGGCCTACATGGTCACATATTTCAACTCCATATTAAATGTGAGTATGTGATTGTTTCGATCTCCAAATTATAAAAAATAAATAATAAGTAAAAAAAAAAAAGAAAAGAAAAGAAATGTATCACTAAACCATCTTTCATTATAGTATCAAATTGAAGTGGGGAGCTCAGCAGTGATTTTCCTCAATAAATAATTTCATAGCTGATTTTTCAGGGTTTTTGTTTTATATTTTTAATCGCACCGCTGATTGTTTCTTTTGATTTGAGTGCATAGATAAAATGATTCAAGTTTTTACAAATATCGTGAGGTAAACATCTCAACTTCGTTAATCTAAAATATTCCCGGATAATCAGAAGAAAAAACCTCGTCACATCCCAATTACATAAAAATTGTTCATTATAAACACTAAATTAATTATTTTTACGCATATCCTTCATGTAGTAAATCAGTTAAAAAATAGTTTTCAATCATGTATAAGATATATAAAAATATTAGTTATTATTTAGGATAATGCACTCTGTAGAGTAATTGAACGGAAAATTCTTTGCACTTCTCTGGAAAACTTACAGTAACTATTTAATTGTGACGCAGTATTAGTCAGGTATATGACGTCACTGATACATCAATGAAAACGTGGATTCAACCTGAATAATACAGCCCATTTTAACCTAAATATTACGTTTAAAGGCCTAAATGAATTCTATTTTGAAAATAAAGTAGATATTTTATGTTAAGTAATTTTCTTTAGTGTATCGATCTTAAATATTTCGCTACGATTCCGATAGTAAGGATGTTTATAAGATTTACCGATGCCACGGGAGATAACTCTTGTATCGCAAAATATCATAAAAACGTCTATATATTTAGCCAGATAACTAAGCCAAAAGTGTTTTTCCCACCAATTTTATTTTTGAAACAGAAAGACTAAATATTTCTAGATTTAGTTCAGCGTAAATTATAGTCCTGTTAAAAATGTATTGGAAATTACAGTTCTTTGTTTCTGACTTAAATTCAATGGTTTATATAGGGGAATTCAATAACACGAAAGAAAAGGATATTTTACTAAATAAGCAGTTTTCAAACAAATCTTCAAATACATTATTTCTTTTGGACTATATTGATATTGCTTTTAATAAAATATCAAATATTCCTCACATTCGATGTGCCGCCTATCAATACAATACTGCCTGGTTTTTCGGTGGACTGCCTCTTAAATATTTACATTCACTGAATACTTTCTCCTTTATTTCTTAAGAAAACCCATTGCGTTAATCACTGCATGAACTACATTAGGCATGTCGTCTGTACAGATTTCTTGATCAGTGGCTGTTCCATCAATGAAACGTATAAAGACGTTCGCATCATTAATACAATAATTAATCTTTTTAATCCTACTTTAAATGATTATTTAAAAAGATATAACTATAAACAATAAAATGCCTTTCTTTGGTTGTTAGTACGGGAATGAATGTCGCAGCTATTGCAGAAAAAAATTACATAACCCGCGTAATTTTGTATTTTTTCTGCAACAGCTGCTTCCGTTAATTCCAGTACTAACAAACAAAGAAAGCATTTTATTGCTTAAATAAACATCTTGGATTTAGTTATTTGTTAATTAAGAGGCAGTCCACCGAAAAACCAGGCAGTATTGTATTGATAGGCGGCACATCGAATGTGAGGAATATTTGATATTTTATTAAAAGCAATATCAATATAGTCCAAAAGAAATAATGTATTTGAAGATTTGTTTGAAAACTGCTTATTTAGTAAAATATCCTTTTCTTTCGTGTTATTGAATTCCCCTATATAAACCATTGAATTTAGGTCAGAAACAAAGAACTGTAATTTCCAATACATTTTTAACAGGACTATAATTTACGCTGAACTAAATCTAGAAATATTTAGTCTTTCTGTTTCAAAAATAAAATTGGTGGGAAAAACACTTTTGGCTTAGTTATCTGGCTAAATATATAGACGTTTTTATGAAATTTTGCGATACAAGAGTTATCTCCCGTGGCATCGGTAAATCTTATAAACACCCTTACTATCGGAATCGTAGCGAAATATTTAAGATCGATACACTAAAGAAAATTACTTAACATAAAATATCTACTTTATTTTCAAAATAGAATTCATTTAGGCCTTTAAACGTAATATTTAGGTTAAAATGGGCTGTATTATTCAGGTTGAATCCACGTTTTCATTGATGTATCAGTGACGTCATATACCTGTCAGGACTAATACTGCGTCACAATTAAATAGTTACTGTAAGTTTTCCAGAGAAGTGCAAAGAATTTTCCGTTCAATTACTCTACAGAGTGCATTATCCTAAATAATAACTAATATTTTTATATATCTTATACATGATTGAAAACTATTTTTAACTGATTTACTACATGAAGGATATGCGTAAAAATAATTAATTTAGTGTTTATAATGAACAATTTTTATGTAATTGGGATGTGACGAGGTTTTTTCTTCTGATTATCCGGGAATATTTTAGATTAACAAAGTTGAGATGTTTACCTCACGATATTTGTAAAAACTTGAATCATTTTATCTATGCACTCAAATCAAAAGAAACAATCAGCGGTGCGATTAAAAATATAAAACAAAAACCCTGAAAAATCAGCTATGAA